CTCTCTTTGACCTCTAATTCCAATTTCTTTAGAATCCTCTGTTTCTATGAAGACTGTTCCAGTTGGCTGATTTCCCTGATAACCATGGGATGACTGAAATATTTCTGAATTCATGACTGATAATCCAAAAAAACCGACTGTGACCCCCTGGTTCCTGTCACCATTATCTGTTTGTGAAGAATCCTTTACTTCATTACTTTCTAATGATTCTAGTATTGTGCAGCAGCACCAGTTCAACAGCCATCCTATCTAGTGTCTGGAATGTTTGTTACGTCTTCAGCACTTTCTCTGAAATGAGTTAACCTAACTCTCAATATTGGAAAACCTTTGGAAAGCTCTGTTTTCCTCCAATCTGCACTCTTTCTGTGAAAGAATATTCAAAACAGCTCCCTGCAGGTTTTATTTATTGCGACCTCATTCTGTTGTTTATGTTGAAAGTTGTCAGAATGCTTCACCCAAATTAAGCTATTTAAATTAATTTGATTACACTGAGGGGGAGTTGGTTAGCTCAGTTGGATGTACAGCTGGTCTGTGATACAGAGAGATGCCAACAGCACAGGTTTAATTCCCAACTGACTCCAGTCACCATGAAAATCTCAGCTTGCCCCTTGCCTGAGGCTTGGTGACCCTCACGTTAACTCACCACCAGAATCTGCCTGTTGGGTGATGCTGATTGAGGGGTAAATATTCTTCAAAAAAGTGTCTTGGAATCTTTGACATTCCTCTGAAAGGGCAGTTTAGGGATGTCTGAGCATTCCATCCTGAACCCACACGTGTAGCCCTCAGTTGTCGGTGTCAGTAAACACTGTGCATAGTTTAATGTCAGCTTTAAAGGAAGATTAAATAAAGGGAAGCCTGCACTGGAGGACCGCTGTTGATGTTGTTTTTCTGATACAAAATATTGCAGATGCTAGGGACTCGAACCAAGGACAGAAAAGCTGGGGCAGAAAAAAACAAGGCAGGTCAAGCAAGCAGTTGACCTGAGCCAAAAACAGAAAGTTCTGGAGAAATTCTGCAGGTCTGGTAGCATCTGCAGAAAGAAAAACAGAATTAGTACTCTGAGTCCAGTAAGCTTTCATCAGAACTGGCAATCTGGGGCGTCGACTCTGTTTGTCTCCACAGATGCTCCTTGTTCTTGATATTTGTTCTCCCTGGAATTAACACGCATTTTAAACTCGGTAATGTTGCTTTGAAATTTCTAGATCTGTAGCTGTGACACCTTTTTTTCACAATTCCATTCTGGCAGTGTGATGATTTAACACCTCACAGTTAGCAATGAGTTACCATGGTGATCATCGTGGTTAATTTGTGCCTTTAGGAAAACATTAAATTCTAATAAGTAACTGATTCTGAAACATTGAACAAACAGCCATTGGTCTGTTTTGTCTTGTTTTCATTGTCTCATTAAACTCTCTGTTAACAGAGATGCAAGTCTTCACAAGTGCCGTGGGCCGTCAGTGAGTGAGTGGGAAGGAACCATGCTCAGGAGGAGAAATGCACAGAACACTGGATTCAGCAAGGTGCCAGAGCACCCACCCTCACCCAGTGAAAAAGTTTGGCACCAGACAACCTGCCCTGGCAGCTCACCCTGCAGCCACCCAATACTTAGAGGCACCTCCATGTCCATCTGACAGGACATCCTGCCTCTGTGAGTTACTGGAAGGGTTCGTGTATGGAATGAACTTTCTGAGGAAGTGGTAGATACAGGTAGAATTACAACATTTAAAAGACATTTGGATGGATACATGAATAGGAAAGTTTTGGAGGGATATGGGCCAGGAGCAGGCAGGTGGGATTAGTTTTGTTTGGCATTATGTTCGGCATGGACTGGTTGGACCAAAGTGTCTGTTTCCGTGCTGTGCAACTGTATGACCCTATGACCCTAATATACTGCTAGCAGGGAGGCACTGGCCTAGTGGTACTATCACTGGACTGTTAATCCAGAGACCCAGATAGCATTCTGGGGACCCGGGTTCGAATCCTGCCATGGCAGATGGTGAAATTTGAATTCAATAAAATATCTAGAATTAAGAATCTAATGATGACCATGAATCCATTGTCGATTGTCAGAAAATCCCATCTGGTTCACTAATGTCCTTTAGGGAAGGAAACTGCCATCCTTACCTGGTCTGGCCTACATGTGATTCCAGACTCACAGCAATGTGGTTGACTCTGAACTGCCCTCTGGGCAATTAGAGATGGGCAATAAATGCTGGCTGGTCAGCGATGCCCTCATCTCATGAATGAATAAAGTAACAAAAAGGTTTCTAATCCCTGCAGCACCACTGCAAGCAGTGGCTGCCACTGGGACTACATGTTCCCGAGATGGCCAAGGGTGGTGGTAGTGGGGGAGAGTGGGGCTGTTAGTTGGCAGGGTATCGTCAGGGTCTGGGTAGAAAGTCCCAGCAAAGACTGATGAGGCTGGACACCGAATAATACATATTGGATAGGTGGTGGATGGAAATGGAACAACTAGGGGTGAGGGGGGTGTGTGGCTGTCTATCCAAGGGAATGAAGGGCCTGTTAAGGAGGTATGTCTTCTTGCCCACCACCAGGACGTGAAAGGAGAATTGCCAGGCTGGCCACTTCGCATGGGCCTCAGTCATTAACCACTTAAAAGTTGCACTTTGTCCATTGGTGGGTTAATTGGCAATAGACACTGTGTCCATGTCATTTTACTGACCCCCTCAGCTGCCCACTGCCAATGGGCTGTAAAATCCAGCTCCATGTCAAAATATACATTGGTATATATAAAGTGCCATCCAGGAGGCTGTGCATCCAAAATCATGCTTGCCAGGGATTCGGGAGCATCATTCAAATATAATCATGGAACACAATAAAATGAGGAATACATATATGAATCATCATTGAGGATACAAGCCATCTTCTCCACATTAATACCTTTACCATTAGGCATAACGAAGGGAATTTAAGATCAATCCTTCACCAAGTGAAATTCCTGGAGTGAGGAAATTTAGGAATTGAATGCCTCCTACAGTGTTCAGATCTCATTAAAGTACCGAATCTCAATCATTGCAAGAAAAGAATGTATTTAAGACCAAATATGCGTCTGTTTTGAGTAATCTTTGTTCTCAGACGCCACAAAAAACGCAAGCCATTGTAAAATGAAATGTTTGCTGGTTGAGTAATATATCTCCGGTCACTGCAGCAGCAAGGCATCAATAATGTGGTAATGCGATTGTATATTTGCAGATGGAAACTCTGGTCAGAATCAACTCTTCTGGAATGATGTTTCCATTTACAGCCATTTAGTCACTTTGGCATGAGTATTATTTTTGGCCTAATTACAATGGAGGCAATTTTCCCAGCCCTTGAACAACTTGGGAAATGGAGAGAAATTTTGGAAAATATGGTGAGAATGAAAAAAAATCTGATTTTCCTCTTCAGTTTTAAATAGCTGAATGAAAATCTCAGTAATTGCTGGCAACTGCCCTATTTCCACGGACTTGCATCTCATTGTTTGCTAATGTTACCTCATTTCTACACAACACACAATTCTCATACTCACTGGTGAGAAACTGGAGCACGTCAATTCTCAGGTGGAAATTCAGAGAGGTTACCTGCAGATCATGACTGGTTTCTCTGGGTTTCTGTTCTCAGATCCATTCACCAGCATTTCATTGCATGCTCCATGGGCAGAGACTGCTTCTAAACTTCGTCCATGGAATTTGACATTGACAAAATAACAGACTCAACACATCAACATGGCCCATCTCAGACAAACTCAGAGGTCACTTCACCACTTCAGTGCTGCACTTTGGAGCTCACTGTCACCTTGCATTGCAAAGGCCTTGCCAGGTTACTTGGCATTAAGGGCCACGGACCTATTTCATGCAACTGAACAGGGTGCATCTCAGGTTTCTTGGCTTGCTGTCTTAATACTTATTCACTTTGCACATACTTGGGCACTCACAGCCCCTCTGCCTTGCTTTTACTTTTAGTGCATTGCTGTTTCATTCTGAACCTTCAGGCTCACAGCATCTCTGCTTTGACTTGCTTCATAGTGCTGACAGAAAGGCAGGCAGCTCTTCATGGTCAAAAGTCAAGGAGATGGAAACGTTGCTGTCACACCTACAGCATGGTTATTAGTCGAGCCAAGGGTGACCAAGGTCAGCCAGGAGGTGCGGCCATACTCAGTCAAGGGTGTGGACTGATCTCAGTCCAGAGGTTGGCCATGCTGAGTGGGGTGCTTGGCACAATCAGTGCCTGAGGATCCTTGCCATTCCAGTCTGGAGATTGGGCCTCAGTCAGTCCAGCAAATTACAAATGTAATCAATCCAGGGAGTACAGACAAATCAGTCAGGGAGCTGTAGAGAAATCAGTCAGGTCCATGCTCCGCCAGGGCTGTCATCATAAATCAGCCTGGGGCGTTGGCCACGGTCAGTAATGGGGGGTTTTGGCAGTAAGTGTGAGTCGGGCATTATTAGTCCATGCTGTGGAAAATGGGAAAGTCAAATGTGGGAATTGGAGCCTTTATGC